TATAATTCATGAGTGATTGATCAAAACAGAATGGGAAGTGAAAGCCATCAGTAGAAATAAATTGTGCTCTACAAGTTTTGTTTATGGAACACAATTTTTGTTGTAGATTGTGCATGGATGAACTGTAATGTTTTATATTAAGTCCTGAAGCAAAATTAGCACTTTGGCTGAAGTGTGAGTGCTATGTTCTGAAAAGGGTTTGAAAGTAAGAAATAAGAATGCATAGAAAGATAAATAAAGGATTGTGTTCTAGTTTATACTCTTGTACCTGAAACTTTGATTACTAATACAAGTGAAAAGGAAACAGTAACTGATAGAAGAGATGGAGGAGGTTAAAAAAAAAAGTTCATATTTTTTGTTAAATTCTTCATCAGATACTACAATCATCTTGCTTTCAAGAATTTATAGGCAATTCTGTATCAGAGGAAATGATGGAGAACAGGCTGATCAGGAGGAGAAATTGAAATTTGTTTTCACCTTACTGACTGTAAAAGTCTTCAGGAAAGATAAAATTCCAGATACTTTGTAAAGAGCTGAATTACATTTGTATCTCTGGTCCTACAGAGTCCTATCAGTACCATAGAGTTTCCAAGTAAGAAGCTCTGTCATCCTCTCCTCTCAATGAGAAAAATGGAGGTAACTCATCTACAATGTTGTTTGGCCTCTGAAGGAAAAAATCTTTGTATATAAAGTATGTAGGAAATGTGGACCACTGAAAACTGAACTTTGATCCCTCAAAAGACTCAGTATATGCACAGTTTAAGCCAGATTTCAATATAATGCTGTCAAAATGATTATTGCATGGAATATACAGAGGGTGAAGGAATGTTTATAAAGAGGTAACTTAACCAATACAATTGTACTGGTTTTGAGTAATAATCAGAAAGAAAAGGAAATGTTATTAAAGCAGGAGAAAAAGCTTTATAGAAATCTTCCATATGGTTTCACAAAGAAAGGTGACTTGCTTATGATCTATATAAAAATAACAATAAAAAATATATTAAGAGTTAAAAGATTACTTGAGCTAGCTGGAGAAAATAAAATAAAATAAAATAAAATAAAAAAGTCTTGTAATAAGAACTCCTGGCTGGAAGCTGAAGCCAAACAAATTCAAATGAGAAATAAGGCACAATTTCACAGCAGCAAAGGTATTTAACCTTCAGAGCAAAAAGCCAAGGGCACTGCTTGATTCTCCATCTCTCTGCCTTCAAATCAAGACTAGATGTTTTTCTGTAATACGTTAACAATAAACTACTGAGCCGAGCACAATCGAAAATGAAATTTAATGACCTATGATATACAGGGTCAGAATAGATGATCTAATGGATCCTTACTGCCTTGAACTGTATGAAAAAGTTAATGGAGCTGCACTATTTTACAGAGACAAAGAATTTGTCTTTCATGTCCATTCCTTAGCATTTTTTTTTTTTTCTCCAGCTGGCCTGTGTAAATTCCTGTGGAATTGGCTTACCTCTGTACTGAGATGAAGAAAGCCTATCACTTCCTCTCCTAAAACTGTTTTGCAAAGTTATCCCAAATTTTCAATATATTTTTTTTAGTTTTAATGCCATCCTTGTCACTAGCTAATGCTAAAAAAGTGTTTAACAATAGTGTCTTTGTATTCAGGTTGGTCTTTAGTCTTTTTGTCTCTAATTAAGACAGATGTAATCATTCGCTACATCTTTATTCCCATATTTCTCCTCCATTTTGTCTCTGAGGTATTTTTTTTCTTTCTTTCTTTCTTTCTTTTTTTTTTAATTAGAGGGTTACCAATTGTTATATAATACCAATAGTATTGTGGGCTTTTTATTATATACCTTCTTTCTCTCACCTCATCTTTAAACAACATTTTATTCTCATGTTTCTTCTTGCCCTGGAGGTCTGTACAACCTCCCTCGTGCTATCCTTATTCTCTTTTCTACCTTGTAGCTTAATCCCAGATTAATTCATTATATTACTCGGAGGCTCACTATAACAATTTTTCAGCTCTGATTTTTCTCCTGATACACACAGCTCTGCTTTCTCCACACTGCTTTCATATTTTAGTCTTCCAGAAAGTCCGGAAGCCCTGTGTTTAGAATTAATATCTTTCCTTGGGAATAAATCATGTTTCACATGTAAGTACTACAATGACGTGCACTTGATTACCAGATGTTCATATTTTGAATATTGTATTTTTGTAATGACATCTCCAAGAAACAGTATCCTAGTTACAACTGTAATGTAGAGGTACTCTGTGAATATTTTATGACACTGCTCATGGAAGATCACCCTACACATCTTCTATATCTCAGTTTCATGGTGAATCAATTGTGCAATTGTTGAACAAGTTCTTTCTAGTCATTATAATTCAATTTATTAGTACTAAGCCTCAGCTCTCATTGCTACGGTGTAAATAATTATACACAACTTTTCTTCTTTTGAGAATATCTATGAAAAATACAAACTCAACTTCAAAAGATTTTTTATTACTGTTTTTTAGTTTTATTCTACATGTATGCGATTTCAGTAGAACTGTGGAAAGGTATAATTTTGCAAGACTAAAATATTCTAGTGGGAAAAGGTTGTATTTGCATTTCTTCTATCATGCATACGTGTGTTAACATAATATTCGGATTTACCATATTAATATAATATGAGGGGATTTTATAAAAATATGATACAAATTCATTATATAAAACCTATTTTTGTATTTCTTTTCTGCATAAACAGAATAGCAGTACTAATATGGCCAGTAATACCTATCCTAACCCTATTAGCTAGTATTTTGGTATTTTGCATTCAGTATTTTATAGGAGTTTAAGTTAACGTGATGTTCATGTTCTTCAATGCAAAGATACCTGCTGGGTGATGATAGATAAGTTTACATTCTCTCTGTCTTTTTAATAGAAACACAAATCTAGGAGGCTTGAGTGTAGGTAGTAACTTGTCAATTGTTAGAGAAACACTGCTTGAAAAAACATCGTGAAAAACGCTAAGAAATAACATTAAAACCTGAAATTGTAAATGAGATATTTATTCTCCATTTCTCCTATGTATGTAATTGTAAATATGTGGGAATGGCCAGATTATTAACTAAAACATAGGCTGAAAAGGAAGCCCCAGTGAACCCTTTCTAATAGTTCTTATTTATTTTTTAATGCTCTGAGCATCAAGGTGATATTTTCATGGAGCTGTGCATCACAGCCACAGGATCTTACTCCTGAGTGGTAATATTCTGCTTCTAGCTGATCTTACTTTATTATTTTTTTTACAGCTGTACCACTCTCCATTTTTCTATATGAAATTTCATCTGCAATGGCAGTTTTCAGTCAACAATCTTTCCAGAAATTAGGATGATCCTGAAGGTCTTTTCTGACCTAAGTGATTATATAGCAGCAATCTATTTGAAGCATGTGCCAGGAAAAATCATTTAGAAAATACAATTATTTGGGAAAGAAGAAGAGTTCAGAGGCAGCTGCTTTTCGCAGGGATTTTCTATCTCTAGAAATGGGTGAAGTCATACAGGTTATATTTTTTATTTCAAGCAGTATTTGTTGGAATGGAGTAAGTACCAAGGGACTGTAGACTCAGAGCCTGAGTTTTTTAAATTTTTTTGTACTTTTTTCCTTTTCCTACATAAGAATAAAACTGTAAATGAAAAGTGCTATTTTCAGCATTTCCTTGTATTCCACAGAAGTTCTTCACCAGTATAGTAAATACCAAATTACTTACTTCAGAGGACTGAAAGGATTACTTAGTTAATGTTTATAAAGCACTTTGAAGATTAAAAGCACTACTGAGATGCTTAAGAATTACTGAATAGTTAATTATCTAAAGATTCCATTCTCCCCCCTACAGGTTATTTCTGCATAAGGGAGAGTAAAGTCTGAGCTTCATATCATGACTTTCACATCCAAGATTTTAAAATATTATTGGTTTTTAAAAACTGCTGGTCTTAGTGGCCTGAATCTGATTCCTTTGAAATCAATGGCAAAAGTCCAACAGATCCCACTGAAGCAAGATGCAGCTGTTCAGAATAAACAAGTTGAAGAAATGTTAGAGCCCCTATTTGCATTATTTATATTTTGTCTTACTTGGTGTGCATTCACATGTATATGCATATATATACATACAAACACATGCACAAACATGTGTACACACAGATGGTAATTTATTTGAATTTTTTTTTTTTTTTTAATTGTAGCTTTAGCTATACAGAACTCATTCTTTCATGGAGAATCAATTCTAGAGAGATGTGCTGTCTTCGGTGAGAACAGGCACGGGCACAATGGATCCCAGTCCAAGATTTGAATAGGGCATTCTGAAATACTGTGTCTAGTTCTGGACTCCCTGGTTCAAAAGACAGGAATCTCCTGGAACGAACTAGAAAACATCCAGTGGAAGGCAACAATGACTGATAGCCTGGCGCATCTTCAGTACAAGAGACAAGAGTCTCTTCAATATGGAGAAGAGAAGGCTGAGAGGGAATCCCATCACTGTTTATGAAAATCTAAAGTTAAGGAGTCAAGTTGATGGAGTCAGAATCTTTTCAGTGGTATGCTGCAGCAGAACAAGGAGCAATGGGCAGAAACTGGAGCACAAGAAGTTTCACACTAACACAAGGAAGAACTTCTTTACTGTCAGAGTGACTAAGTACTGGAACAGACTGTCCAGAGAGATCACAGATTCTCCTCTAGAGATAATCAAGACCTGCCAAGATACCTACCTGTGCAACCTGCTGCAGGGAACCTGCTTTAGCAGGGTGTTTGGACTATATGGATTCTAGAGGTCCCACCCAACTGCTACAATTTAGTGATTCTGTGATTGCCCCACAAATGAATAATCTCAGCAACAGGGGAAAAATCTCCTAAAAAAGATCCACCTGGCTCCTTGATCTGATAGCCTTACATTTAACACAGACCTTGCATGAAGAAACTAAGAAAAAGGGAAGGGCTTTGTATGGGAACTGTTACATCACAGCTGAACCAATAATTAGGCACCTGGTGAAGGGGTGTAGATAGCCCTGGGACTACAGGTGGAAGCAATTCAACTGCACAATGTGAAAAGGTGGAGCCAGGGTCTACTCCTGCCTAACCTCATTAAAGGGTTGTCAGGAAGGAGCATCTATAATTAAAGATCATCTTTTTTGGAGTGTTTGGTGAGCCCTGATACTTGGAAAGGGGTAAGCAATTCCTTCTTTATTATCAGTTTGTAACCTCTTGGGTGATCCCAAAGTTGTTTAAAGCAGCTATATTTGCTGTCACCTATCCTTACAGGCTCCTAAGCGTAATATTCAGTCAGACCTGGCTTGTAACAGAAAAACTGACAGTAATTACCAGTCTTACCTTCAATATCTTCCTGTCTAATAGTATCTTAACTGCTAAAAGCATCATAAGTAATAAGAACAAGGTAAAAATTACGCTACTTACTAAGAACAGGAATCTCCTTTAGACTAAATAGTTTAGGAACTGCTACTGCGCTTATATCAAACGCTTACTGTAAAAGACAGTAGCCCTCCTAATGCTAATAAGTACACTTTGTTTTGCAAACCTTAAATGTTTATTAATTCTGATATGACTGGTTAGGAGTTAGATGTTAATACGAGTATAACTGAAGCTTAAATGAATCGATATGACTTGTGCAATTTGAGGGGAAAAAAAAATCATGTATTTAACTGGATTTCAAAATTGATTCCTTCCTGAGATAAAGAATGGCACCCCAACCTTGAACTCATTTAAATTTGACCTTTTAATGTGCTACAGCAGCATACTATCATGCTCTTAGCTGTGTTGGCTCTTAAATCAGAGTCTAGATATAAAAGGGCATTGCTGAATTTGTGAGTTGTATCTTTTACAAGAGCTGCTCTTCAGGATTTTCATGATTAATATTAGGAACATGCAGGGGATATTAAGAGGGAGAAGTAAAGAAGTGATCAGTAATTTAGTTTAAAAAAACAAACCTGATTTTAGTATACCCTCATCTAGTGTTTGCAAGCATACATAAATAATGAAAAAAGCACAGTTAAGATGGATGGTCAAAACATAATGTTAGACAATAAAAAAACTAGTTGATATTTTTCCTGGGGGGAGGGGGGGGATCAAAACTGAATTTTTGACCCATGTATGTCAGATATTTCTAGAGTGCAGAAGTTAATTATATATATGAGTTTATGCTTCTAAAATATTCTTCTCCCATCTGATAAAATGTGTGTGTGCGTTTACAGGAAATTGTGGAAACAGTGACTCATCTCTTCAATAATTTACGCAGGATAATTTCTTGAAAAGCAAGATCAGCAGGGACTTTTCCTCTTGATTGCAGAGGATTTGGTTATATATTTCTGAATACTCAGAAAACAAGGTAAGTTTTCAAAGTAGAATCTAAATACTTGCTCTTTAACAGTAATGCCATTTCCATTTCTTTAAGTATATAAACCATAACCTTGTGCCTGTCACTAGGACTTTTCAGAATTCATTTTCTGGCTGATGTTAAGTTTTCCAAACTGTTGTATTTGAGTGTCACAAAATGCCCTCAAACACATCAAAGGTAATTCAGATTTCTCCAGCTATTCTTTGAGCATTTGTACTTAACCTCTATAGGCCAGTGTTCTTCCTTAATGTGATTAGAGGTATTTGCTGCAAGAGGTGGTGATTGCTTTTAAGAAGTGACTGAAACCTGAGTTATATGTTCCATCCGCAAATACTCTAAACAGGAATAGAATGATGTCACTGCGGGAAAAGGAAAGCTGAACATTTTGATGTTGCTAAGGTCAATTTAAGCAGACTATGTGATGAATTAAGTGTGTCAGAAAAAACTTAGACAAATACTCACAAACACAACTGAAACTCATTCATATCACCAGCACAGCAAAGCAGTGCAGTTAAAGCAGGTGACGCACCCTCTGACCAGGCTCATTGTCTGGCACTGGATCAGGGATTCAGCACCTGTAAGTTCCATCTCAGGCTCTCTGCTTCTACACAATGTTGGATGTCCCCATGACAATGTTTCTCCCAACCCTGGTTTCTGCTACCAAGTATTCTTATAGATGGACACTGGCACAAGCTGCCAATCAGACAGTAAAACCCTTCCAGCAGTTTCAGATATCATTCCCCAGTCACTTCTCAATCTGTGGCTTGCCTCAAGGCTCATTACATTCAGAGTCTGCTTTGCATTGCTATGTTAGACATGGCTTATTATATTCAAACCTTGTTTGTAATGTCCTGTTGGATATGGCTCATATATTCAATCAGTCCTCAGTCTAGGCAAAGCCATATGGTGCTACTATGTATAATGAAGGATGTTTCCTATGCATCTCCGCTCAAGGTAAGTGGTATTCCTTTCAGGTTGTAGTTCCTAAAACTCTGGCATAGTTTCAGTACCAGGTTTCTGCATCCAAAATACTGGTAGCTGTCTGTGGATGGTCTAGTCCATGATGTAAGTTACAAGAACTATTTGGGTCCCTCCAGTTCACAGATGAAAACCATAGCTTTAAGGAGAGTAGAAATTGCTTATGAGCAATGTGAATGTGATGCAATTTTTTTCTTAGCTACACCCCCTATGGCATGAGCTGTGAGAAGAAAGGGCATAGAGTCACTACAACAGATAAAAAGCATCTCCAAGCTATCGTTATAAATTATGTCAGAAATATAACAAACTGTTTAAAGTATTCCTTACAGACAGCTATGCACAACCTAACAATACTTTCATAATGAAGAAAATTCATTATGCTTTGTTGTTTGGAGGGGAAAAAAAAAAAAAGGAAAATCAAGTTCTCGCAAATGTTCAAACATAACATGATGTCCAACATAATGAATATGGTAAATGAATAGCCACAGGATACAGAAAATGTACTACAAGTCTGCTCCATTAATCTTCTAAGAGAGTGAGAATCTGCTAAAATACAAGAACTTTCTTTTCGGATTTTCTAATTTTAGGATTACTGTAGTTGTTCTGAGACTGCAAATAGCAGCAAATAATAAAATTTGACCTTATAGACAGATAGTGAAATAAATAATATTAGTACTTTTCAATAAAAACAAAGCTAGTAAGTGCACACTTTTAAAAGTATGTTTATAAAAAGTACATTTCTGAACTGCAGAAGTATTTTGAATTTTTGCAGTGACCTGTATGACCTTCTCATCAATATGCCCAACATGAATAATGCAATCACCCCGAACTCATGCCATTAAAAGTCGTAATAATTGTCTCACATGCACACACAACATTACACGAGGGATCAATTTGGCCCAGAGCATTCCATTAAAACACAAAGTGAGTTTCAAATGCATATGTTAAAATGAAACATCGGGTATAATGAAAAAAGAAGCAGAACAGAGCAGGCTTTAGATATTAGTATGCATTTTCCTTCAGAGAGCATTTTGCCACGCTTGTGCAGTACATAATGTTATTACATATTTGATTCTACATCTACATTTTATTTTGCTTTTAAAATTATCCTATGAAAAATACAAGGCAATCAATATACAGCACTCTAGAGAGATGGTGGTATTGAATTGCTATTGCTATTTAATATTTAGTTTCCAATATGGCTTTGATTATAGGCCACTGTATTAGCTACCATACAATTACATAGGAAGACATGGCCCTTAATCTAAAGTTCACCGTGTCTTTGAATAATAATGCTTTACTAAGCTTTGAAAGACGGGTGAAACACACTAGAGTGGCCTACTTATTATTTGCTCTTATGTTACCATCAAGCATTCAAAGACTAAGACCTTAGCATTCTTGTGTCAGTTCATACAGCAGAATACCTAAGAAATTATTCTGTTGGAATTACTGTTTTTGAAATTGTTCCAAAGGCTTTTTGACGGAATAGAGTATTGAAACATTTCATACAGATTAAAAAGATTGTCATCACAATACTCTGTAGAATTGAATTTCTTGCTTTAGCAGTGAGGAGCTAAGCCACAGTTAGATAAAAACCAAAATACTAATAGTAGATGTGTTTGCCTTTTACCAACCACACAATGGCCCCTATAGATGTCTTTAACATGTAAAGAGTATTTCAAAGTATGTAAGAGGCAGAACAAGGATGGATCAGTGGTTAAAGAAGATCATTTAAGGTCTTGGAATTCCTGTACACACTTCAGCTTGGACAGAATGTGCAGCTAATAGCTCTGTGCTGTTATGTAGCTGTTAAGCAGCATTATTGGTAAGAGAAGTGGTTGTCCCTGACATGAGATGCACGGAGAATTTTTAATGTGCCTGTTAATACATTTGTTACTGAAAGACAATACTGTACCTTTTGAATTTCTGTTTGTAAAGCCACCACGTCTATGATGTATTTTGTTCTAGATCTGAGTAATCTGATGGAGCTGTAGGTGTTCCTGTTCATTGCAGGGAATTTGGACTAGGTGACCTTTACAGGTCCCTTCCAACTCGTATTTTTAAATCTTTAAGATTATAAATTCATTTATTGCATAAATATGCATTTAGTGCATAAAGAAGTGTATTCATTTTATGTACTTCTCACTGTGAAAAGTATGTATTGGTTGAACAAGCTAGACAGTACTTCACAGTTTACCATTCTGTGTGCAGCTTTAAGGTTGTTAAAGTAATGGCTTGAAGTTATTGTACATGTGCTATGACAATTTTATGTAGCCTCAACATTTTATTTAAAAAATCAAATTTTAGCCCACTTGCACTGAATAATAATGTTTCTTTAGTTTGCTTTGTGCAATTAGAATACTAGAGACAGTTTCTTAACATTCAGAAAAAAATACAAAACTCTTCTTTTCCAGGATCTAACAGTACAAAGCAGGTTTCAGACTACAGTGAGTTTTATGACAAATTAGTAAACAGGAACTCAAGAAAGAAATATTGACAGCTCTATAACTAGTGCAGTATATGAAAAGTTTCTGAAACTGTTCTATTATTTCCATCATTTATAATTACTCCTTACAAAAAGCACTTCTCAACACAGATGTAGGGAAGAAGTACACTTAGTAGCAGCTAACCTGTCATTCTGTCTTATTTTTCAGTGTTCCTACTTTTCTTGGAGGTCATTTTTAATGAGTATATACACAAGCACCTGAAAAATCAGGTGCATAAATTAACTACCAATTAAAGTAGTTAAAAAACACAAAAAAAACTACTTAATTACTAGTTGCTATATATAAGTCCACTCATTAGCATTCATTATGCCTGCATGTTTATCACATAGCAATTGGAGAAGCTGCAAAGAAAAGTGATGTTTTCATTGTGTTGCAGTCCTGAAACTTGATATAACATGAAGCAAAAGAATTCACTTTCAAATATATGTTGGCAGGTGCAGTTGAAAGAATAGTATTGTAATTTAATTTACTATAGTAAGTGCTTAATTATTTCTGTATAACATTCCCTTCCCCCTCCCTTTTCATATCACTGTCTAGAATGGCTGTTGACCTACTTTTCAACTAATTGCAATGAGAATACAAAATTGACTTTCACAGGTGAAAATTTTCACTATTTCACATCTGAAATAGTGAATGCATGATTGATAAACTTCACTGCCACCATCAACAGCGAAATGGCACTACTAACCACAGTCGTAGATAACAGTAATGGTGCAGGAAAATATATAGAATCTTGAGAACTGAGCGCCACAGAAAATATCATGCATATTTATAAGAGAACATAAAGCACCCATGAATTTGGATATTAAGGCACTGATTACCTATGAATTATTATTAGCCTTTGGCCATTTAATTTAGGCAACTTTGTTATGATTGGGGTAGCATAATCAAAAGCTAGTGTTACACCCCTAAAATAAGGATTTTTTTATCAGACAAAGAATGAAGCAAAGAAAAGAAATAAAATGAGGAAAAGATCTATCTACTGGAAACACTCCAACAAATCACAGGCTATATACCACAAAGAATGTACACTCACATAGTTGCAATTTAGATGTAGGCATTTGAGTGCCTGGACTTCAGGATGGAATCTGTTGAAGTAGATGTCTACAAGCATTCTAGTGTACGTAAGTCTATAGTGTATTAAGCTATGAGCCTCCAGTTGGAATCCCAATGTGATGGGTAAATTATCCAATAAGGAAATGCTGACAAGGTGAATATAAATTCATAACTGTCCTCTGAGGAGCAAAAATTAGTGTACATTTTCAGTAGTGAACTCACTGTTCAAAGTTTGACTGCTGGAGTACAGCATGGGGACAATGTAGTCATGACAATGTAACTGGTTTTAGCCCCATTCTCCAGTTATCTTTTGGGAGCTTAACTACTACTGAAACCTGGGAGATTTGTGTACGTAATTACCTTTGCTGATATGATGCTCAGAAGTCAGACCTAAGATCAAGGTCGTCTTCTGCCTATGGGGATTCTTAAAGGCTTATATGAATCTGGCTGTATACAGAACTAAAATGTCTGTAACCCATCTGCAAATTTGAACTGCCATCAGATGACGTTGAGATCTTATACTGTTAGTTTCACTAATCTTTATCAAATTGATCATGATGTGACAAGGATTTTAATGCCAATAAGATGTACAAAAATTAGTCAGCTGATGGTAAATACTTTCCAGTGCAAGTGATCTCTCTGTACACCCACATGTATTTCTACTTTTTCTTCAGAAAATAAAAGGGTAGCAGCTAAGTTGCTGCTAACATCTCAGTGTGGGATATACATGAAGAATTTAAGTAATATGGAATTCATAGCATTTGAAGCATTTACTGTATGTGCTTCATGCAGCAATGTCATAGCTATGGTTTATATTCAACACATGCTATCAAAATGTTACTTGTCTCTTTCCATTTCATTATTCATCACTACTTCTTGTTGGTGCCTACACTATTAGCACCACATGAATCATCTTAAGGGAATTAAATCAGCTAAGTGCTTCTTTAATATCAGCCAACTCAGGCTATATAGTGAAAGCATAATTCAGCTCAATTACCAAAAATTAAAGGAGCTTATAATTGGAATATATATTGCATTCTCATTGTGTGGACTTCAAGTTGGTTGCCTTTTGTACTATGTAACTTGTATAGGTCACTCAAAAGAAATGTCTCCTATTTATGCCCATGGAAACTACAACAGATACAAAGTGCATAATAACACAACAAATTCTCAGCTACAAAACAATATTTTTCAACATAGTCACCACTGTTAGCTATGCATTTCCTCCAGACACGAACACGAACCTGCATGCTGTACTCATAAACATCTTCATGGTTATCCAGAACGTGGCTTGTCTTTCATGTCGCTCTTGCCACTACTGAAACACATCATGCAGTGCCTCACTGTGCTTGCATCTTCTGTTTGATCCCCATAAACATTCAGCAATGGTCAATGAATGTCGATGGTGCCATTTTCTCTGCGCGGGGGAAGTGACACACCTTTGCTTCATACACACTTTCACGTTATCTGTCATTCTGTCAGAATGCCCCTCTGCTGCCATCTGTCACATAGCAATAAAATGTAATGAAATATTGGCAGGAAGGTTCAGCTCCTACTGTCTTACCTCCAATATCTGCCTCTGGGGTCATGGGCTGACAATCAACTGGAACACACTTGTTTTGATCTCACCATCATACTTTTTAAAAGTTAACAGTGGCAATTATTAGCTACTAGTTCAATATGTCCACCTACTGCTAACTTGCAAACCACCTAAAATTATTTTTAAGCTTGTACATCTGGCATGAGTATTAGCATGCTCAGCCATAGGCAGTACACAATAAATATTCAGGATTTTGTTTCAAAAAACAATGTAAGTTATTTCTAGTGTTTTTTACCTCACTGGATAAAAGAAGAATGAAGGGCAGAAATCTGTGAGAAGTTAAAAGGTGAATGGGACATAAGTCAGAATTCTGTATAGGATGATAAAACTATCCCTTATGAAAGTTGTCTGTAACTTGTTACAATTGTTAACGTAGGAATTTATCCTGTGATTTAGTGGGGGGAAAAAAAACACTGAAGAAGACCTTAGACTCTACTCAACCGCATTAAATAATACTTCTTAGTGAACTCTTGTGGACTTCTACACAGACATGTACACTGCAAAATATATTTGAAAGGTGCATTTGATTCCTCTCTTTACCTTGACTGTTGATCTTTCAAAAATGCAGCTACCTGTTGCAAAATGTAATTACTCACTAACCCCTCAGTGAGGGTTGTTATTGGCCTTTCCTGCTGGTGCTGTATTTTGAGTGTTAAATCTGCACTATTGAGTAATTTCCGTTGCTTTTGGCAACACGCCCTTGGGTTATCTACTCTGAAGGGTCTTGAAGTTTTTATGTTGTTTTTCTTTGTTTCTTGGGGCAACATTGATTTATCTATCCTACCCCACTTCTTACCTCAATTTTTTCTATTTCATTATTTTTAGAGAATGGGGAGAGAAAACAAAGCCAACAGTCTGGGACTTTTTCTTCCCAGAAGGAAGGATTTTGTCCAATTGTCCGATTTCAGAATTGATGAAAAAAGCCTGAGGAGTGAATGTTTCACTATTTTTCCATGAATTGGTTGCTATTGTTTTTTGAATCAGTAAAACCTTAAAGGTATTATCTGTCATGAGGAAATGGGATTTGAAAACATGGTGCTGTAGATGAACAAAATATGCTCTGAAGACACAATGTGGATATTTTGAACATGTAAACAATATCAGTTCCATGTAACTAAATGCAAATTATTTAATGATGAACAAAAATACATAATGTGTCCTCAAAGAGTTAATTGTTGACCAGTCAGCATTTTATTTTTCTTCACCGTTTTTGTTGGGACACTAGGGGCAGTGGTGGCACTTAGTGATGTAATATTGGATTGGTTTAAACTTGCCCATTTAAAACAGCAATTTTTGATATGTGGGGTAATTGGGCCATCAACAGTTCATGTTCATTTAAATTAGTCTAATAATAAAAGTATTTTTATAGGATTTTAATAGTTTTTTTTTTTAATAGAGAACATTGATCAAAATGGAACCTGTACATTTCCTGAGACCAAATAGTTCTATTTATTCCTTTTGTTGTTTTTTGTTTGCTTGTTTTTGTGCCATGAACAAATTTATGTGGTCACTTCGTTTTTCTCTTACAACACTGTCAGTCAACTTTTATCTGTAGGGACTGTAAGGCAAATTAATAGCATGAAACATCACTTTCACTGCAGTTTTGTGATCATGTGATAGGAGTAAGGATATTAAAGGCAGATGAAATGGGGATTGGAAGAGGTGTGGTAGGTGGGGGATTTTCCCAGCAGATGTCTGAGAAAAGACACTGAAATAGTCGAAAAAGGCTGTCAGGTTATGAGTAATGTGCTAAATTTTGTCAGTGTCTTTAGCAATATACTTTTCGTAGTTCTTCTAGGCAAGAGAGAAAAATATCTGTTTAATTTATTTCCACATCAGTTCTTGTGTACAGATACTCTTCTCTACTTTGGGATTTTGTATGATTTTTATTTATTATTTTTAAATAATCATTCTTTCTTAACTCTGCTGCGCATAAAATGCAAGTGCAAGATCTATGTTTGCCTTAATAATAGGATGTACAGAATGTACAGAACTATTCTTGTTTAAAAATGACTGCATTTTATCTGCGTATCTTTATATGATGTAGCAGATAAAATTATATGTACAAGGGGATAAAAAGAAGAGGAAGTTCCATATCAGCCTACTGGTTCTGTAACTCAAGCTTTAATGTTGCAAACGATACAAACTCAGGTGAAGTATCTCAAAAGAAAGTATTTCCTTATCAGGTGTTCCTTTATATCACATCGTAGGACCAATAGATAAATCTCCAGAGATTGGTTCACAAGTACATCTTTTCCATGGTTTTCTCAGATACCCTCACATTTTATTAGGAAGTTGGCAAGTAACTAAAAGCAGAAAGGCATCTTCTCTCTCCTAAGCATAGGAACCCTGGGTTTTCAATTCTCAAAAGAGGAAAGAGAATGGAAATTTGGCACAAGTGGATACTGCAGCTAGGATAAAGTTCAGTATGGATAGCTATGGACAGTATCAAAATTTGCAATGTATGTAGTTTTTGAGAGATGTATCAGATGAGGAAGCTGACATGTGTATTATGTACATAAAAGTAGGGAAAAATGATGCTTCTGCCTGCAGTGGAAATTACACTAGAAACTTCAGTTTTGTATTTGTCTGAGTGTACATCATTAACTCTATAGTCAACTGAAAGAAACAACAATATCTATATGTTATTAGATAGCAGTATGTGCCAGAAGAAATTTTGCAAGCAACTAATGAATAGCAAGAGAAGACAAAAATCTTAGACAATATTTATGATTCTTAGACAGTGGAACAGAAATGCTGTAAGAATTAATCTTTAACTTTGAGATTTCTGGTTTCTTGACTATAAATTACTAGGAAATGTTAGTGCATTTTATGAAAAACAAATAGTAAGTAACCTCTGTAAGTAACCTTTCAAAAATTATAATAATGGATTATTCTCTCAAACATAGCCCAGATTTTATGTCCATGTTTTTGCATTTTTTATTTTGAATTTTTAATTCAGCAAAATCATATAGCATCAAACCACTGAGTATTTGAAATGCCATGCATATCAAAATGAAACTGACATTTCAGTGTTTGGAAATAGCATATTTGGGGCAGGATAAAAATGCAAACATTTTCATCAGTTTTTTTCAGAATCAGTTGAAAATTGATCTAGTTTTATTCCAGTTTTATGCTTTAGAGTTTATCACGAACAGAGTATTTGTGCATTGATATGTACAGTTGCAATGCTGTTATTAGTTACCTTCTATCGCCTTTCCCTCATCTGCAGATCTTATCAGGAGCAATTTTTTATTCACTTCTTTGGTAAAAATACTGAATGGCTTCAGGATTTGTATTTAGATCTGCAGATAAACCCCACCAGAAATGCTTTGGTTTGTTTTTAAGTCTTTCAGTCAGACAGTTCTTATTCTATTTCATGTAAACTTTACAGGTATCATATTGTATTAATTTCCTATCAGATTATTTTACAGTACTAACTCAGATGCTATACAAATGGCTATTGCATCTGTCCATAAACCAGAAATTTCAATTACCAAAGTCATGTAATTACACAAAAGAGAACATGTAAGTTACCGAATGCCATTTTTATAAACATGGATGACACCATATATATAAATATATTGTTTTACACTTACAGTTTTTGAACACTGACTCCCATGTTAGTATTTCCATGATATTCATGTCAGTCTGAAAGATTGCTTTCATCCCTTCTAGTTATTTTATATTTTTAAAAATCTTTTTTTTAAATATTTTTCATTTTAATGCAACATTAGTGGGCATCTAGGCATCTGAAATTTCCTTGTAGCACTAGTAACAGAGGTCTTTAATACTTTAACACATTCTTGCAAGTCCTTTGGTCAGAGATACTTTGGGCTTCTTGATTATAAAGTACCATTTGTAATTAAATGTTTCCTAACATCTTTTCCTATATTTTACTTAGTTGACATAATCATAATGTCAAACTTCTTCCAAATTACAGTACAAATGCATTTAATGAATGCCCATTAGTGTTATACCTCATCTCTAAAAATTGCAGATAATATGAAAAAGTCTTTATTCTCCTGAAGGTTTTAAAAATTGTATCTTATTTTCCATTACTATTGTCAGCCGTGTGTTTTTTCTAATGTCTTATCTGTAGACTTCAGGTTGGTATCTATTGCTATTGATAGTTTTCTTTTTCTACTTTTTTTTATATGTTGACATGTATTAAAAAAAATTACTTTGAAAAGGGTGTGCTTTCATCAAAGCAGCTTGTTTCATGATGTACTCATTATTTTGGCCTTCCACTGTCTCATTTCATGGAATTCCAATTGAATCGTTTTTCATTGATTTTCTTCCTTGTAGCCATTTCATGCATAATTTACAGCAGCTTAGGAAAGTTGTCACTAGTTAAAACCAAGCACCTGAAAACATGGAACAAGCAGACTTCCTTCCTCTCATTAACACTGCCCAACACAATGTATTTTCTCTGTCAGATGATGGGGGAGAAGCTGTATCGTGTCGTGTTTCTAAAGCAAGTTTATGATGGCTGTTTCCCAGGCAACCACCAACCTCCATGCTTTTGAGGGCCAGAAATAGTAGAGTTGGATACATTTCTCCTTTTTTAAAAAAGGTTAAATGTTTCTTTATTACTATGTACATAAAATTTTCAATGTATTAAAAATTGTACTGACTTATGTAAAAATAATTTCCTTTTCTTATTTGCACACATTATTGACAAGCTTTTTAAAAGGAAATCATGCCGTTTTCTGATCTGATGCTATTTAATCAATTTCAACCTAAGCATTATCATATCATTTAGATGTATCTAAAACCTATGCTTCTGATTTACCACTAATGGTAAAAGAGAGAGATGTAGAATGTTGAATATATGGAATGCTTTCCCCTATCTATTCCTCTTCTACATAGTCTACTTTTCTGAATACATAATAGCCAGTTATATTAACATTCAAGTCATGAATCATCATATCAAGTCTCACGAATGCCAGTAATGTCAAATTCCTTTTCCACAATGAGAATTTCCAATTCCTTTTAGTTGTTATGGAGTCTTAAAGGACTGGCATGCAAGTGACTGGAAAATGTCTTCACATTTTTTGTCACATCAGTTCAGTTTAGTCATGAGGGCAGTCATTTAAATCTAGTTCAGTGATAACCAAACTAGTTGTAAGTGAACTAGCTTAGGTATCAGAAGCAGTCAAGTTGAAACAGTGTAAAATTCATCTTAGGCTAATATATTCACATATTGAGAGCTCTCCTGAAATTGGGATTGCATTTCGTTTGCCTCCTTACTTCACAGTATTGATTATTTAGTGTCCTTTCAACTGCTTGACCTATTCTCTGTTTCTGTGATTTCTCAAAAAAAAAAAAAAAAACATGACCCATAAGTTTGAACCTTCTGCTTCATGCCAATTTCACTATCAACATTAAAGTCTCTGTATTTTCACCAACTGGCAAAAATCTTTTAGAATGTGAAATGTCCATCTTCTTCCATCAAGATGTGCTCTTCAAAGACATTTCAATTACTGGTAGTTCAGATCAGTTCAGAAATTTCTGAAGACAAAGAAGATTCCCAGGACTGATAGGTCACTGAGTGAAAGAGGCTTGGGTTTATGAGACAATGCACTAATGCACAGATGTGCACTGATATTTGAAAATCATGCACTAACCTTTTAAAGAATGTGCACGTTGTTAAACATGAAATATCCAGTCTCCCCTTCTTAGGCTTTCTCTTGAAATGCATCCCTTTTTTCTTGTTATAACTTTTTTTTTTTTTTTTAAGCAATCTGTTTAACTGGTTCACACTCATTCTAAACGTGAATGGCAGATGGCACTTGCCCTCAGGCCAAACATACCTTCTATGTCTTGATACTTCTTCCATTTTAATGTGCTTTTTGAGACAATGGTGACTGCAAAAGCTACACAAGCAAAGATGTCAGTGCATTTTTCAAAGCTCCTCAAATCCTGTAGTTTACTCTTTGCTTTCCACTATCATAGAATCATAGAATTTCTCAGGTTGGAAAAGACCTTAAAGATCATTGAGTCCAACCACAACCTAACCAAACTACACACACTGGGTAGATCAGTGTATCCCTTTCATGCCAATCCTTTCCACTGTTTGTTCATATCCCATTAGTAAGCTGAGAAAGACAGTGAACTTTACTTATGAGTGTAGCTCAAATAATTATCAGCCTGCTCAGATGCTGAGAATAAGAAACAGCATAAAATGAACTCTCCTAGTCTGAAAGTAACCTGTAAAATAATCCTGTTTTATATGATTTGTTTACTTATGCAATTAAGACTATACAAGATATCACATGGAAGCTAATTTCAAATTGAACTTGATGTTCTGCACTCAAGTAACTATTTTATTA